ACCAGCCAGAATTCACAAACCCCCACTATTACATACAGGCACCTACGTAAATAGGCAGAGAATAGTGAACATAAGTGAAGGGTGGTTAAAACTTAATAATCTACATTTCCTGCAGCAATTAGGCAGGTTGGGCCTTATATACCTCACAGCCTCAAAAGAAAGAAACATAGGAACACTGTGGTTAAGCAATTTAATGAATCCTTTAGAAAAACAAAATAATTAAGTAGATGTTAGTAATGCTTTTACTATAAAAAATAGTAGTACATTATGTAGGATAGAAGATTGATAATTAGTTAATAGAAACAATCTATCACTTACGTAGGAGAGGAGATGATGTCAAAAGAAAAATGCTTAATGGTTAGAAAAGAACAGGATATTGGAAAGGTCAGGTTGGACACCATAGAAATACTTTTGTTAAGGTTCTGTAATCCCAGGGTGAAAGAATGTTACAATTACAAATGTGTAATAATTCAAGGGAAAATCAAAGTATCAAATCATTAAGCATTGTGTGAGTTTAAGTATAAAAATAAAGACTTGCTGAGCCGGGGCAAGGCAGACAGAGAGAGAGCTCCATCAGCCAACTAAGCAGAGACTCCTCCATTGCTTTCACTTTCGCCAACTTCGCGTCTCCTCTCGTGTCCTGCAACCCTGCGAGAGCTGGACTCCCGCACTTTGTCTCATTTAGTCCATGAAAACCTCCCTAAGTGTTCCCCTCTATCTTCCTTGTTATTTCACCCCTCCCTCTTCTTGTATATTGCACTCCCTTGTGTGGCGCTGTGGGTTAATGTGCCAGACTGCAAAGTCATTTGAACTGCAAGGTCAGCAGTTCAAGCTCACCAGCCGCTCCTCGGAAACCCTATACAGGGTCGTTATGGGTTGGAACCAACTTGATGGCACTTAACAACAACAACAACAAATCATCCAAGCTATGATGTGACTATCCCCTAACCTGTGCCTTACAGTCCCTTCCCTCCTACTCCTGGTAACCATCAAAGAATTTCTTTTCTTTTAGTATGTAAATCTTTTCTTAAGCTTTTATAATAGTGGTCTTATAACAATATTTATATTCAAGGTTATATTTTGGATCTTGTGGACTTGTTTTCATTTTCTTCAGCTTCAGTCTAAATCTACATATGAGCAATTGATGATTTATTCCACAGTCTGCCCTGGCTTGTTTTGGCTGACTATA